CAATAACACAAAGGAACACAGATTTGGAAATAAATTGTACTAAAATGCTACACTGACAATCACATTTAAAATTTTCTCCTTATTTGCTATCTCCAGAGGAATAATTTCATTACTCACCTTCACCATATATATGTTTCTATATCAGTGTTTTGAAATAATTCTATAATTCTTTTGGGGCATCTTTATGTCTATTATAGGTAATCAAGAGAAGTATTTATTATAGTTGTTAAATATATTTCAAACTTACATTCCAGTGATATTTATGAGGTAGCAAAGAAACTGGGATTTTGACACTTACTAAAGGCATTGAAATATCACCAAGAGCACATTATGACTAAAGAATTCTGTTTCCTAACTTTCATGATGCACAGTTTGGCAGTTATTTTGCAGTCTTTTCAACTTACTCCCCCTTTTAAAAAATGTCACTAGGCCTCAAGAGGGTATGTTTATAGTTTTGTAGTGTCTTTATTTCCTTTCTGACTCCTTTGATGGAAACACTCTCGACTCTCAATGTCTAAGCACTACTGCATAACTGTGTAGTACAACATTAAAAAACCTAAAAGTTCCATACAAACTTATGCAAGGCTGAACTTTTAATCGTTATTTACTATAGAAGATATCTTGAAAGTGCCTGTATAAATATCAAAAGTCTTAGCTAGTTCACTTAGCTGGCAACGGTAAGAAAATACTTTTTTAGCCTTCTGACAAAAATCTCATGGTAAGAATTGAGTATCACGGATCCCAGACAAAATATATTACTACCTGTGGTCAGAAAAAGGGAGAAGAAGGCAGAAAGTTAAATTATCACCTTAAGTAGTTTTGCTACACTTTTTCAATAGCAAAAACAGAATATTTTTGACTTTACAATCAGCTTTCACAGAAAGAAAGAATAAGGATGCAATGGTAAGGTCTCAATCACATTAAAAAAGTAGATACATATAAAGAAGATACTCTTGAAGAAACACTGTCAAGGTGCAATCACGGAGACGTGGTGGGACAGCTCGCATGACTGGAATGTTGTCATGGAGGGCTATGTGCTTTTTAGGAAAGATCGGCCAGCGAGGCAGGGTGGTGGAGTCGTTCTTTATGTGAGAGAGCAGCTAGAATGTATTGAACTGCACCTGGGGGAGAGCGGTGTAGCAGTGGAGAGCTTGTGGGTGAGAATCAGGGGGCGGGCTGGTATGGCTGACACTGCTGTGGGAGTGTGCTACAGGCCCCCCAGTCAAGAGGAGGAGGTTGATGAGGCCTTCCACAAACAGTTGGAAGCAGCATCACAATCCCAGGCGCTGGTGCTTATGGGGGACTTCAATTATCCAGACATTTGCTGGAAAAGCAATGTGGCCAGGCATGCGCGGTCCAGACAGTTCCTGCAGTGTGTTGAAGACAACTTCCTGATGCAGGTGATTGAGGAATCGACGAGGAGAGGGGTACTGCTGGACCTTATTCTCACTAATAGAGAAGGGCTTGTCAGGGAAGTAAAGGTCAGGGGCAGTTTGGGTTGTAGTGACCATGAGATGGTGGAGTTCAAGATCCTCAGTGGAAGAAGTAAAGCAAAAAGTAGGATTGCTACCCTGGACTTCAGGAGAACCAACTTTGATCTCTTCCGGGGCCTACTTGGAGATATCCCATGGGCTAGGGTGTTGGAAGGCAAGGGGGCCTGTGAGAGCTGGTCGGCATTTAAGCAGCTCTTCTTCCAAGCTCAGGATCGGTGCATCCCTGTGAGGAAGAAATTGGGAAAGGGTGGCAGGAGACCTGTGTGGATGAGCAAGGAGCTTGTGCGCAAAGGAAAGAAGAAGGCCCATGAAATGTGGAAAAAGGGTCTGACTACTTGGGAAGAATGCAGGAATGTTGTCAGGGCCTGCAGGGATGCAACAAGGAAGGCTAAAGCCCATCTGGAATTAAATCTGGTGAAGGGGATAAAGGATAATAAAAAAGGCTTTTTTAAGTATGTTAACAGTAAAAGGAAGACTAAGGAGAACGTGGCTCCCCTGCTAAGTGACGGGGGTGTTCTGGTAACGGGGGATGCTGAGAAGGCGGAGATACTGAATGCCTTCTTTGCTTCTGTCTTCAGCAAAAAATCTCCCCCTCGGGAATCTGAGACCCTGGAGGTTAGTGAGAGGGTCTGGGGAATGGAAGACCTCCCTTCAGTCAGGGAAGAGGTGGTCTGAGAGCGCCTAGGCAACACCAATGTTCACAAATCCATGGGACCCGATGGGATGCATCCACGGGAGCTGAGGGAGCTGGCAGAGGTGATTGCTGAACCGCTTTCTGTCATCTTTGAGAGGTCTTGGAGGATGGGGGAGGTGCCTGAAGGCTGGAGGATAGCCAGTGTCACTCCGGTCTTCAAAAAAGGCAAGAAGGAAGACCCAGGCAATTATAGGCCAGTCAGCCTCACCTCCGTCCCTGGAAAGGTGATGGAACAGCTGGTGCTGGATGTCATCTCCAGACAACTGGGAGAAAAGGTGGTTATCAGGAGTAGTCAGCATAGGTTCACCAGGGGGAGGTCGTGCTTGACCAACCTGGTAGCCTTCTATGATGTTGTCTCTGGCTGGGTGGGTGGGGGGAGAGCAGTGGATGTAGTCTACCTTGATTTCAGCAAGGCATTTGATACTGTCCCCCACGACATCCTTATAACAAAGCTGAGCAAGTGTGGAATAGATGAGTGGTCAGTGAGGTGGGTTGAGAGCTGGCTGACTGGCAGAGCACAGAGGGTCGTCGTTGGCGGTGCAGAGTTTGGTTGGAGGCCTGTAACCACTGGTGTCCCCCAGGGGTTTGTGCTGGGTCTGGTCTTGTTCAACATCTTCATCAATGACCTTGATGAGGGGATAATGGCCACCCTCAACAAGTTTGCTGATGATACGAAGTTGGGAGGATTGGCTGACACGCCTGAAGGCTGTGCTGCCATTCAGCGAGACCTGGACAGGCTGGAGAGCTGGGCAGAAAAAAACCGGATGAGGTTTAACAAAAGCAAGTGTAGAGTCTTGCATCTGGGGAGGAATAATTGCATGCACCGGTACAGGTTGGGGGATGAGCTGCTGGAGAGGAGCTCTGCGGAGAGGGACCTGGGTGTCCAGGTGGACGACAGGTTGGCCATGAGCCAGCAGTGTGCCCTTGTGGCCAAAAAGGCCAATGGCTTACTGGGGTGCATTAAAAAGAGCAGCAGGTCGAGGGAGGTGATCCTCCCCCTCTACTCTGCCCTAGTAAGGCCTCATCTGGAGTACTGCATCCAGTTCTGGGCTCCCCAGTACAAAAAAGACAGGGATCTCTTGGAAAGAGTCCAGCAGAGGGCCATGAAGATGGTGAGGGGCCTGGAGCATCTCTGCTACGAGGAAAGGCTGAGTGAACTGGGTCTGTTCAGCCTTGAGAAAAGGAGACTGAGAGAGGACCTGATCCAGGTCTATAAATATCTGAGGTGTGGGGGGCAGAATGGCGAGGCCGGACTCTTTTCAGTGGTGAGTGGAGACAGGACAAGGGGAAACAGCTGGAAACTGCAGCATAGGAAGTTCTGCACAAACATGCGCAAGAACTTCTTTACAGTGAGGTGACGGAGCACTGGAACAGGCTGCCCAGGGAGGTGGTGGAGTCTCCTGTCGGGAATAACCCACTTGGCCAGGGAAACCTGCTGATAAGCCTGGGGAAGCCCACCAACTCAATATGAGTGAACAGCTTCGTTTATTGTAAATACAGTAGAGCTTATATAGATACAGAACCCGAAACCACAGTTACAAACAACTCTATAAATCACATACCTAGGGTACAGTGTTCAGACAAGCATATCGAAGGAACAAAAGCGAGCATTCCATAAACCCATTTACCAAGCACCGTTGCTTAGGTACAATCTTTGCTACAGTCATTCCAAGCACAAACCGTCCCTGGCTCCTAAGCCACTTCCAAGCACAAACCGTCCCTGGCTCCTAAGCCACGCAAGCTAGTTTGATCATCTTCTAGAAACCCAGATTAGGATACAAGATAAAACCCACTGCAATTCCCCCCTTTTTATTTTATGGGCGCATCTCAAGATATTCCAAGGAGCTATGACCTCCTTGCTCCTTAAGCCAATCTCGAATAAAATTATTCGTAGAAAACGTTGTACTAAATACTGGCATGGCTCGAGGGGGATCGACTGCCCTTTGAAGACAGCCGTATACAATTCGTCCACCTATAATTATCAATAGCAAGATTAGCAACCATCGCAAACCTTCTTTTATCAGGCCGTATGCCCATGAGGAAAGGCCTGGAAAAGTAGAACGAAGCCAATCGTCTATGGGATTATGATCTTTACTCACAGATTGCGTGTGATTCAGGAGCCAGCGAATCTGTTTATGTATGGAATCACTATGATCAGACAAATTAAAACAACACATTCCCTCAAAATCAGTACACCCGCGTCCCTGCGCTAACAGCAAAAAATCTATAGCTGCTCTATTTTGCAACACCGCGTGCCGTAAACTGTCCATGTCCTCCAGCATTTCCTCAAGAATCTGGGACGTAATATTGCTTTGTTTGACTGTCAAAGACACCTTGGCTGCCGGGTCTGTACCTTTCAATAGCGGCCGTAACTCATTAAGGTCCTTCGAGTTAAAGCCGATTACCGGCCGCAACCATTGGAGGTCACCAAAAAATCGTTGAACATCATTCAAGGTTCGTAACTCACAGTTGACGTTAAGCTTCTGTGGGCGGACAGTCCCTTCTGTAATTATCCATCCCAGGTATTTCCAAGGCGCTTCCCGTTGTATCTTCTCTTGTGCTATCTGCAAGCTGTTTTTCTGTAATTGCTCCTGTAGGAAGACTTCTTGTTGCATAGTAAAAGGTTCAGATTGAGCAAACAAGATATCATCCATGTAATGATAAATGATAGCATGAGACCAAGCTTTTCTGACCGGCGCTAACGCGTAATCAACAAATAACTGGCATAAAGTAGGGCTATTTTTCATCCCCTGTGGAAGCACGACCCATTGATAGCGCGCTGCTGGCATGCTCTTATTGATTGCTGGCAATGTAAAAGCAAAGCGTTCTGAATCATCGGGGTGAATTTTGATTGTAAAAAAGCAATCCTTCAGATCAATTATTAACAGGTGCCATGACTCCGGGACCATCGATGGGTTTGGCAATCCCGGTTGCAATGCCCCCATTGCTTGCATTTGATTATTAATAGCACGTAGATCATGTAGCAGCCGATATTTCCCCGATTTTTTCTTAATCACAAAAATAGGAGTATTCCAAGGACTGGTAGAAGGCACGATATGCCCTTGCTGCAATTGCTCTTGTACCAACTGACTGGCATGCTGCAGGCTTTCCTGTTTCAACGGCCACTGATCAATCCAAATGGGATGATCAGAAATCCATCGCAATCGGACTGGGAAAGCCCATGCAGTGGCCGTTAGGGAAAACCCGAAGATCCTGAATTGGTTAGGATAACACCCAGCTGGTCCAGTACGTCTCGGCCGACTAGCGCCGAAACACCCACCGGGAGGGGCATTACTGTAATTTTGCATTGCGCAGAGCGATTTTCTAATGTCACTGTAATTGGATCCAAACTGCGAGACACTGGAACAGTTCCACCAACTCCTTCCACCCCCTTTCCGACCGACTCCGTCGGCCACTGTCGGGGCCAGGCGTTCGTTGCTACAATGGTAATATCTGCGCCAGTATCTAACAACACTCGGATAGTAATAGTGCGTTGCTGATGAGTCAATGTAATCGGAACCACTGGTCTCAAATGCAGAGGCATAGTCAAAAGTGCGAGGCCCCCTGTGGATCCAAAACTCTTATCCCCCCTGCTTTCAGGAGAGCGCGGGGACACAGCTGCAGTTAAATGCAGTAAGGGAATCAGTTGTGCAACACGCGAATGAGCGGGGACATGAACGGGTGGATGCCATGTGTGCATTACAATTTGAATGACTCCTGTATAGTCCTTATCAATTAGTCCAGGCAATATCAATAAACCTGCTAACCCAGTAGAGGAGCGACCAATGAGCAAAGCTCCAACAGGCTGTCCATTAATTAAAATCGGTGCCTTCACTTCCGAGGCAACCCTCTGTGGTCTAGTGTCGATTAATGTGACATCTACTGCGGTTGCCAGGTCCAAGCCGAGGCTGCCGGGGGTGGCTGGGGAGAGGACGGCGGAGCCGGAGCGGTCAGAGTTGGCAACGCATTGTTTGCCGAGGTCGCTACTGTTGTCGTTGCGCGGCGACTCGCGCTCTGCTTGCCGTTTCCCGACCGACATACCACCGTACCATGGGTGCCAGATTGACAGTTATCGCACCACACCTTAGATTTACAATCTCGTTTAAAGTGCCCAGGTTTACCGCATTGGAAACATCGCTGCTTCCCTTTAGCTGACTCACTCTGCCTTTTGTTATTGCTCTGCAACAACGGAGCGAATGCTGCAAATGCCTGATTATGAGCAGTAGCCAGGCGTTCACTTACAGTCTCTCCCATCGCTCGCACAGCCTCCACTAACATTGCCTGAGCCGCCGTAGGTACACGGTTCATGCGCTCTAACATCTCTTCCAGAGTAGCATTCAGAGGCAATGTAGCTAAGACAGATTTCATAACGGAATTACTATTTTCAAGAATGCACTGACGTAACAGAGAAGCACGCATCCAGTCTGGCACATCGGCATGCGACAATGCCTCGGTCAATTTGTCAACAAAGCTAGCAAAAGTTTCCTCTCTGCCCTGCTTAATTGATAAATATGATGGTGCCGGCTTTGACGTCTTTACCATGTTATATGCATCCCGCGCCAAGTTCATACTCTCCATACAAACTTCAGGTCCCATCTGGACCTGAATGTCAGGGCGAGAAAACATATTGCTGCCTGTCAACTGATCAACCGTAACCTGAAACAATGGGTGGTGCATATCCCGCGGGGTCTGTGCAGACAACTCACACAGCCGCCGCCAATGTGCTTGCCACAGCATCTGCTCAGAGGGCTTCATAATTATGCGCATTATAGTTTTTATGTCCTCCGGAACCAAAATGCTACTAGCCCACATATACGTCAACAGCTGTCAAGCCAGTTCACTATGTAACCCATGCTCAGCCACTGTAGCCCGCAACTGAAATAACATTTTCCAACCGATTGGCACATGTACCCCGTGAACCTCACCATCCGGTCCTGCATCGTAACGAATTGGAAAAGCTTGACTCACAATCTCTACTATATCCATTTCCCCCTGATGTGAGGCTTGCTCCGCAATCTTAGACCAATTAAGTCTTGTAACCCGTCTATTTTTCCCTATTTGAGTAACATTGTCACAGCCCTTTTGTTCATTTCTCCTTGGCGAAGCCCCCGCCGGCACAGGTGCAGAGGCGAGTGGAAGGGGGGGGGGGGGGCGAATCCCCATTACCTTCCTCCTCAGGGAATAAGTCGGGCTCCGAATCCGACTCTTCCTTTCGAGGAGCGCTGGGCAAAACGTAATTATCCAACTTAACGGGGACAGGGATGCCCATAGATGGATGAGGGGGATCCTGGATTCTCCCCGTAGCCGTCCCAACCCCCAATTGCTGGGCTGCCTGACCGGCCATATCCTGCTCCACCTTGTGTCTCTTAATACAGTTAATAATTTCTCTCCAAGGCTTCATCAATTTCTTAGCCTCCTTTTTATCATCAATCACCTGATCCCAAAGTATATCACCACACGTACGCCACTCATCAACATTAAATAAGGTTCCTGCATGCAAGAACACCCCCGCCGATCGCCCGAAATCTAAAACGTTCGGTACCGACTTTAAAACTCCCGTATCCACCCCGCGTTTTTCTAAAAAACGTAAAAGCAATTGTTGGGCTACCTCCCGCTCCATTCCGTCTGATGGAGATCCGCAATCCGCCTCCCGCGGTCGCGCTCAGCTGGCCAGCTATTCACACAGGTTGCCCTCCAAGTCTGCCCCGGTTGTCAACCGCACAAGACTCGCAACGCCAGGTACATCAGTCAGGTCCCTGTTCGGGCGCCAAATGTCGGGAATAACCCACTTGGCCAGGGAAACCTGCTGATAAGCCTGGGGAAGCCCATCAACTCAATATGAGTGAACAGCTTCGTTTATTGTAAATACAGTAGAGCTTATATAGATACAGAACCCGAAACCACAGTTACAAACAACTCTATAAATCACATACCTAGGGTACAGTGTTCAGACAAGCATATCGAAGGAACAAAAGCGAGCATTCCATAAACCCATTTACCGAGCACCGTTGCTTAGGTACAATCTTTGCTACAGTCATTCCAAGCACAAACCGTCCCTGGCTCCTAAGCCACTTCCAAGCACAAACCGTCCCTGGCTCCTAAGCCACGCAAGCTAGTTTGATCATCTTCTAGAAACCCAGATTAGGATACAAGATAAAACCCACTGCAGTCTCCTCTGGAGATGTTCAAGACCTGCCTGGATGCCTACCTGTGTGACCTGCTGTAGGGAACCTGCTTTGGCAGGGGGGTTGGACTCGATGATCTCTGGAGGTCCCTTCCAACCCCTACAATTCTGTGATTCTGTGATTCTGTGTTAGCAGGCACAAAATTTTATATTTCTCCTTTATATGTTATTTTGCAAATTCATTCCTTTCATGATGTTTCTCGTTCAAAAAAAAAAAAAAAAAAATCTTTTTTTAAATTTATTAAATATTTCTTCAGCCTAATGAAATGATCTTCAACAACAAATTGTTTTGTGTTGCCTACAAGGAGAGAAATTGTTTGTCATGGGAAAAGATTCTAATTCAAGCTATCAAGGAACAGCTGTGAACAAAGAATAAAGCAGAGTTGGAAAATGATAAAGTACCTTGACGGTGTCCTTTCAAATGTATTAAATTTGTGTTTACAAATGAAGACGCGTTAGGAGACAGATGCCAGAAAGAGTCATAGATAGAGAAGAAAGAAAAAAAAAAAAGTCAGAAAATAGGAATAAGGTAAAAATAAAATAAAATAAAATAAAATAGACCATAATCTTTCAGGATACTGAGATTTTTCTATAAACTAAACTTCCTGTTTAACGCGCTTCCAGTGAGGGTTTGACGTAATACATTGGTTTGCCACTGCAGAGACCAAGGGTATGGTCTCGTTCTGTAACCAAAGTGCTTTTGCACATTTCTGATTCTTTGTGCTATGATCTCTGTTTTGGAGAGTGCTTTATACATCTGTTCAGGTTTCAGCTGCCATGTGTGAAGTCGGGAGTTGTCATCAGTATTCCTCATGGGTCTCTTCCAACTCAGGACACTTTAAGATACTATGATTCTAGGACAAGATATGGAACTGTTATATTGTGGTTCCTTCTACTCCATCTATAGGGGTAACCTGAAATTGCTGAGGACTGTAATCAGTGATTGACATTATTTTCTCCCCTATATCTGAAGAAGCAATGATAAACACAACATTATGGAGCATGGCATTATTATAGAGAAGATGAAATAGGACTCTGGGTAGTACATGTTTCACAAAGGAGAAGAGGACTGGCAACAAAATGGGATAATGTAAATGCTTTTTAAGTGGAACAATTTCCCAGCTCCTCATGTAATGGACATTAAAATTCAATTTCTTTAGCCCTACCATACCGTAAAAGAATTATGGGTATAACTCTCAGAACATACTTTGAGAAATAAATAGGGACTGATTAAGTTACTACTTCAGAAATCCCAACCCCGAGGACTGGAAATAGTTAAAGAAGATTGTATGTCAAATTCAGATCCCCTATCTTGGCTAGAGGCTGAAGAAAGAATGCATTAATTCATAACATTAAAAATATAAATTGCATTATTAATTATAACTGAAGAGCTTGGACGTTATAAAGATTCTCAGATAAACCTGAAAATAATTTTTAGTCCTTCAAAATGTCATGCTATTAAATAGTGTATGAGAAGTTTTGGGTTAATTATCTCTGTAGTTATACTGATTTACCAGCTGGAAAAGCCGAGTAAATAGTTCAAAAAACTTTGAGGAGCCTCCAAGTGGATCACCAGCTGAAACTCAACTAAGCGACAATCTTTAGTCTTTCCAGGATCTGGCACTCATGAATTTCTGCCAGATTAACAGGAATATGACCACAGATTTCTCTGAATACATTTTTTCTTCCTGATGTGAAACTCTCAATTCAGTATTTGTGGCCCAAGTTCAAATTGTCAATTTTTTTCCTAAACAGGAAATTGTTTATCTGTACAATAAACAGGTTGAGATGCAAATGTTACAAAGACAAAGGCTGACCCTATTTTTGGCTTTCTCAGAGCCGTTGCATGAGAACTTAAAGAAATATATCAGAAAAATTCCAATGCCAGCTGTTATTTTCATTGTCTTCTTTCTCTCCTATCACTGTGCCCTACAGGGCCAAATGATGAAAGACAGTGGTCAATTTATCTCAGAAGGAGGAGAAAAAGAAGTTTTAAATTCCATCAGATCATACACAGAATGGAGTCTGTTGATATAATGTTCTGTATTGGAACAAATCTATACTGAACTTAGACAGCAAACATTTTTTCTTCTAAAATCCAAAGAATCCAATTTTGAAGTATGAGTGAAGCACAAGAAAAGAAATCACAACTGGTAAAAAAGTATTCTGCATTTTACATTTGCAGAATACAATGAAACAAAACCAATTGAACATGTACACAGATGACAGCAGGAGATTATTAAAAAGCAACAAATGAAGTGAAACTTAAAGGATGTTGTCCCTTGCAACTAGATATTAAAAAGCTACTCTGAAATAGCTTTTATAGAATGTACAATAGTTCAAAATGGCTTGAAGATCCAATAAATCACTGAAAAGGGGAAATGACAAATAGATAAGTCACTGCTATGGTTGAAAAACAATTACTAAAGTATGTTGAATTTCAAGGTGAATTTTAAGTCCAAAGAGCTCAAAAAAATCCTACTATATAGGAAAGTGAAAATGACATTACTGATTTTTGTTGTCCAGACTGAAAGAAATGAAAAACATGGCAAAACAAAAACTTTCTCCCATCATAGAAAAATGAGAGGGGAAATAAAAAAAGCAAATACTTCAGTCTTCAATCAACCTTTCTTTTCCCCTGGAATCATCTGCACACTGCATCTGGCCTGTTAAAATAATGGATGAATGTCATACTGTGCCCTGTAAGATCCATTTTTTCCTTCTAATATGCTCTCAGAGGAAAACTTCAGTCAGTGTCCATTTGCAATGGATAGTGACTAACTGAAGTAGAGTTTCAGAATAAGTTCTAGAGAGGTCAGAGACTGTAACCTGTTCCAGCAGAAAGGCCTTCCACAGTGTATGCATCATTCAAGCAAATATAGTAGTAGCATCCAAATCCAAACAACATGTTACAAAGGGATACAGGGGAGCCTGAGCAACTGCTTTAAGAACTTCATGGAATATAATGAGTATTAGCATCATCTTGAAAAGCCAACATCATTCACTTTGACTTCTAGAAAATCAATGATGATAATTTTGGACATTAATGTTTTGGTGACTTTTACCTATTAATTTTTAATCATCAAAAATAAAATTGCCTTTGAGATAATATGAGTCAACCCACAGCTTAAGCTTAGTCTAGCTCTGTGTCAATGAAAAATGAAGATCCTCAGTATTTGACTACTACTACAACAACTAAATGAAGAATATCTTGACCCATTGTTTATAAACTAAAGTTTTTACAAGACACGTCTTGCTCCAATATGTTTACTTAACATACATTGTATTTAACACACATGGTTGCCTAACTTAATTACAATTGTCAGAACATGCAACCCTGAAGCCATTATATTCTAATTCAGTTTTGAGATAACAGATTTGTCATGAGCTATTTGAGCATGAAAGTAGCTTATAGCCATGTTTCAACATTGCTAGTCAGGAATCTACATGTGGATGATAACACACATTAATAAAAGGTCTTTACAAGATTCTACCAACTGACCTTACTGCAAGGGGCAATCCAGTAAGCCACTGAAAGGAATGGCAGTCCTACTGCAACTGCAAGAACAACCAGAAACTTCACCGCCATAGTCTGCTGCCGTAAACCTGACAGATTCTCATACCAGAT